GGGGGGGGGGGGGGGACGGTAAGATCCGATCAGTCAATACGTTCCAGTATCTCTGGCCTTGAAACGCGTTAATAGAATTAACGAGATTACTATTCCAGATTAAAAATATCGATTCATATTTCCTAATACAGATGATAAATCCCATTTTCGATTTCTTATCGTCTCAGAATCCAAAGGCGTCATCCACCGTACCAGGAATCGGTTGGGTGCGCAGGCGGGGTATCGTCCTCGGTAAATAACAGCCATCGCCCAGCAATCGTTCTCACAAAATGTAGCGGCCGAGTCCTTTGTAATTTTTCAAGTCACGGGTTGCGTACTAGAGACCACGATACTTAATACTTCTACGAGAAAGAGAAAGATGGGAGACTGCCAACCTCCCCCCCCCAAGGGGCTGCACGTCTTATCGGTAGTGGCGCACGCACAGCAGCCTGTAGCCATTTGTTACGCTAAGTGGTAACTGTTATGCAGGAAAACGGCAAGTTCGTATTACTCTTACCACTTGCGGGAAAGATACTTGGCAATAGAGCTAAATTAAGGGAAGTATACTTTTATTTCTGATCCCCGGCATCTCTCGCCGCCGTGCACCGCGGACGAAAAAAACAAAAAAAAACTGTAATATATTCCACTGTAAACATTCGCTATACTTAACCTTTTCCCGTGCCTCCAGTACAGAGGCCAATGCCGTGGAACACGTAGGGATGGCAAAAGTGGAAAACAGAGTTGGACGCGTTTTAACCTAGGTGTACGTGACGTCTGGTGTGGTCTCCATTCTCTTCTTGGTTATCCAAAGGTTCTATCGTACTTTCATTTCTATTCTCCATTTTTTTGTTTCCTCCTCTTCTTTGTATTTAACTTCCTCGAGCCTCGCGTGCTTCCTCATGCTCTCCGTGCTGAGATTAAGTCGCAGTCAGGATGAATCCAGAAAACGAGAGGAAGGACGTTCTCATTTCCATAGCAGCAATCTGGAAAGCACGTTTTCCAAATTAACCCGTGCACGGACGAATTAACCCGTTTAAAATTCATCCTTTTGTTGCTGCATGTTAATTCCATTCTTACGCCTCCTCCGCTAAATGTCTCTGCTTGCGGTTCGGTCAGTGACGCTGATGACGGGTTCTAATCGCCGGGACCCAAAGACAGCCGAGTGGAATTCAAAATAGTAGCATAGCCATGAGCAAAGGACACTTTAGTGCCGTGAAGAGATAGGTCTACGCATAGAGACAGTGGAAAAGGTAAGTAAGCAGGCAGACAGCCATCCGGGAGAATGGTGGGTACCGGGAAGATAAGTAGGTAGATACCCTAACGAACCAGACTCGAGTTAAGTGGAGTCTCTGACAGCGGAAGAGAATTTAAGGACGGAATAGCCGAGCGGTGCGAAAGCTCAAGTTACGTTGAATTGCCGAACGATATTTTAAAAGAAATTCAATAAAGCCCGAAGCAACGAACCTCATCTCCGAAGGACTGAGCCACCTCAAGAGGGTAGTAGGGTCACTCTTATAAACCGAGCAAGTCGACCTCCTCTCGTCCATAAAACTGAACTTGGAAGGTCTCTTTGTGTGCTGGCCACCTATCTTCTTGGAGCGACGGTAGTAAAAGGTAGCGAAGGTCGTGAAGCTCCAGGAAGAGGTGCGACCGTAGGATGAGAAGCCAAAGAGGAATAGGAGGGATTGCAAACACTCCACGCGGGTCGACCCTGCTTCTGCTTAAGCTTCCTCCGGCGACGGTGCTGCCGGTTCCTTCTGGCTCTTGCCTTTGGCCAGCGTCACCCACGTCAATTGATTATTTAAGCCCACCTACCGACCTGCACACCTACCCTGCCTGAGAAACCAGCCCCAGCTGCATGTCCTCCCTTTCCTCGCTCTTCCCGCAATCCTTTCGTTTGGACAGAGGAATCCGGCGCACTTGAAAATTCAGTGGACCACCCCCGTGGACCGTCCCCTTCGAACGAAGAAAGAATAGCAAAGTCAACCTGAGGGACCAATTTGAAAATTTATAGAATTCAACCCCCGTACCCAAAGAGCCGTACGGTATATCCAGCGGAATCGGGGAGAGACTAGTGAATTTTCGTGGTTAGTCGAATTAGAGGGGACGCTAAGCGGCATTGTAAAGGGTCCAAGGGCCACAGGGGTCTCTAATAACGTTATCAGAGCTGGCCCGAGCCGATCGTAGCTGGCGTCTCCAGTGGCAATGTGTGCGGCAGCGGTAATGGCAGAACGTCGGGACGTCGAGCTAGTCGCGGTATCGCGCTACGACGCGCATACGTGTTCAAATTGATTGGAATTGTTCCCGGCTGATATCTCCTTCCTGGCGGGTTGTGCAGCTTCGGAATAGATGTAGACACCTCGGCATGGTAGAGCCTGAGGTTAGGTTAGGTTAGCCCCGAGTATACCCGCGCCGGTACTGTTTGCGAAGTGGCGGGTACAACGGGAGAAGGGTTCTTCACTGGAATTAATTCCGAAGCTTCCGCCGAGAGCTCCACTTACTTCGCTCATCGCATCACCCGATGCGACGCAGTGGCGTTACTGTTCTATACCCGTGTAAAAGTAAAGGGTGGCCGTGGCCACGGGCACTGGGTTGGTCCTTGCCCAGGCGTGTATGTATTAATAGCCGGGAATAGATTGCGAGCTCGGTATCGAAGGGATGAATAGGAACTTAACGTTCGCCGCAAGCCCGAGACAGATTCGGGAGACGCTCCCTGCTCCCGGCAGCCCTATATTAATTTCGGGTAGCTATGTTAATTTAAGGATTATAACGCGACCGCCGCCCCTGCTAAGGACTGATCCATTATAAAATACATTATTCTCCACTTAACTTAACAACTCGCGCCCACCGCCGAAATTCAGAACACGGATTATGCTCGCCAATCGTATGCATATTCATGAATCCCACGGACCAATATTTATAACTGCTCCGAGTACGATGCTCCAAATGTTCTACCGCGTCGACCCCTCGTACCACCCCCTTCGCCCACTCTCGTCCTTCCACCCCCCTAGTACCCACCTTCGAATATCAGGAGGATGCTCCGGTGCTCCCGCGTGCTTACGAGGCTGGTGCTTTGTGCTTTGCGCAGTGAAACGCGTACTGTGCCCCGTGTCTATGCTGCAGTAATAGTAGCTGGAATAAGGGGTAGTGGCAGTAAGGGACGGTGGATCGGGAGGACAGGGCGTGGGGTGCTAGGAGGGTGAAACGAATGGAAGTTCGTCAGGCCAGTTGAGAAAAGCAGAGCGAACTCGAGAACGGCAAGAGCCGGAAGGAAGTGGGAAACGCGAAGAGAATGGCGGATGGTACACGAAACGCGAGGAAACCGTAAGCGCACGTCGTGCCCGAAACAGACGGAACGAAGTTCTCCTGTTTTGGAATTACTCGTACGGGCATTTTTGAGACTGGACGAGTTATTGGCTTTCCTTTCCAATTGTATCTACAGAGACTGTGTGTATAGGTGTATGCCTCTCTCTTTCTCCTAAGCCGATTCCATTCTACATTTCCTTCTCTCTTCCCCTTTCTCGTCATCCCTCTCCCACTTCCTCCTTGCCCAGTACCGTTCCCGTACGTTATACGCTCATGGGTAATAAAACATTATTTATAGCTCCCCGCTTCGACAGTGCCTATAAAAAGTTCCGTATAAAGCTGTAGTTTACAGTCTGCTAAATGCAACGCCATGAAACGGTCGCGCTTCGCGTGCCATCTAGCTTTCTTAAGGCCGAAACAACCACCGGCCACCCTTTAACTCCAAGGAATACCGCAAACGCCACTTTTATTCGGGACGACTCCAAGACGATTTCCTTTTGAGTTCATCCGCAGAGGTTTCCTCGGGATTCTCCAGGTCCCGGACCCTCTGACGTTGAATCGACGTCACTCGTGTTGGGAAACTACCGGCTAGTTTCCAAGACGGCGTAGAACTGGTACGAGGTGGCAATAAATATTTTGTGACCAAGGCACGATTCAGGATACTCGTTTCTCCCTGAAAAGTCATGACAAGAAAATAATGTACGACTCAACATTTTCAATTGACCTAGACAGTCCCAACAGTACCGATCGTCGAATCCATTTGATCCCCTTTTTCGAAAGTAACGTGAGTGCGGGATTAAATAGGCTGGTTCCGCCGGTAAGAGCCTTTTCCGGTAGTGAAGAGAACTAGAGAATCAAAACACCAGCGTACTTCTCATTCGCCAGCATCACTTTCTGGACCAAGAGGGCTCTGATATAAATTACAAAAAACAGGCTAGTCCTACGCCCGTATACAAATATGCGTTGTCCCTGTCTTAAAGTTTGCCTAATATAACGTGTACGTCCAAACATTTCTTTAAGGTGGCTCCACAAGGACAAAAAAAGCAGCGAACGTAAAGGAGACTTGAAAAGAAATCTAAAGGAAGAATGTCAAAGAGCCAGGAGAGAGTCGGTGAAAAGAAAAGTTGGTGTCCTAAAACGATCACGGTAGGAAAGGCACGCACGAGGGACGTCTCGGACATTTCATTTGACGCGACGAAGGTAGCTAATCTTTATTGCGAAACGATGTGGGCCACGAGCCGAGAAACGGGCCTTTTTATTTCCCGGGCAGTTTTATGGCGCGCGCTTCTCCCATCCGCCCTCGTCGTGCCGCATCCTTTTTTTTTTTGTTTCCTCGCCTTCCTTATCCTTACTTTTTTTTCTTCACTCTTCTCGCTCTCTCTGTCACTTTTTTCTTTTCTCCTCTCTTTACGGCTACTTTACTTTATACCCACGCCGCACGATAGGATTTATAACCGTCTCTTCGCTCCGCACCTCTTGC